AACTGATTGGGACTGTGACTTTAGATCTGTGGCCTTACTTTTACTGCACTGTTTTTCTGTGCTGTAGAAATGAGAAGGGGAAGATACCTGTTTACTGAGCAGGCACTGGGGGAGATGTGACTGTTAAAATGACCACAAGAAATAAGAAAATCCATACTTCAGTAGCTAGAAAACACAGATTAGGAGATATTTGCCCTGGCAAGAGTGCTCTGCACAGTTACATTGTTGTCAGAACAAGGTCAAATCTGCCCTCTCAAAGTAGGCACAGCTATACTTCAACAGTGACAGGCCTCACCTGTGGCTGTGGTTGTTCCAGCCCTCATCCACAGACCTCATCAAGTAGGGAGTAGAAAAACAGTCTCTTCCAGTTATTCCTTAGAGGACAGAGGACATTTCTCTTTTTCAGAAGCCTAGGACACTGTCTGCTAGCATTTCACTTTTCTGATTTAATGTTGGCCCCTTCTTCAAACTAACCACTGAGGGATGTGCTGGTCTGTTTAGACCAGTCAGGACTACTACAGGTTGTATGGTTAAGAATGAGAAAGATACAGTTTTCCAAAGGAAATTCAAAGGATCAGTACACAGAATGAGTATAAAGTGCTGGTCAAAAAAAGTGACAGATATTCTCAAACATGCTGAAAATTTGATTAGTATGCGTCTCATCTTACTTTATTTCTATAACTGATGTTGTTTTACCCTTTTAGCAGGAAATGCATTAGCATAGTGCCTCTAGCTTATACATTATGCATCATAATTTCTTAAGTAATTTGTTTATATTTACCTTATTTTATATCCATTATTTATCCTTGTTTTAAGTACAGTAGCAACTGTAAAAGCTGTAAATATTATCTTTCACTGAATCTAAAGAACACTTGTTCCCCTCCCATTATAGCTTTTGTAAGCTTAGAATGTGTCTTATAATCAACATTCTGTAAGCTTATTTGACAGGGTTTTTTAGTGGTACATATAATAATGGTGCAACTTTACAATTAGGGATGCTTAGATTTGATGGAATCTAGTGGTTCCCAAATAGGAAATACATCCATTGTTTGTTTTCTTACTGACTTTCCAAGAGTCCCTGAAATGTCCCTGAACTGTCACTAACTTAAAAAGGTTTTATTTATGTCTCTCTTCACCCTCCTCAGAAATTTTATTCACCAGAGCATGTTTGTTATCCAGTAACTTAAAAACATAGAAATTCAGACTAAGCATTTAGAAACTTTCAATACATTGCTATGGATCAGTACATTAGGCTTTGTTATTGTTCATTTTCCATTAGTATAACAGAATACCAAAACTGGGTTATTTGTAAAAGAAAGTTATATTATGTAAAGATTAATTTTGTCTCATGGTTCTGGAGAAAGTTATATTATGTAAAGATTAATTTTGTCTCATGGTTCTGGAGAATGAGGCAATATATCTGGTGAGGACCTTGTACTACTTCAACTTAGGCTGGAAAGAGGAAAAGAAGCTAGTATACATAGAAGAGAGAACATGATGGCAGAGTGCTTTAAAACTGCCCAGTCCAGTGGTAACTAATCCAGTCCCATGAGAGCAAGTAATGCCTTCCCCTCCATAAGCCAAGTACCTCCCACTGGACCTCCACTTCCCAACACTGCTGCATTGAATATTAAGCTTTTGGGGACACACTCAAACCATAAAAGCCTTGTTGATTAGAATGTAGGCCAGTTTACATTTTGTGGAACTCACAAAATGTGAGTCTTACTAGGAATAAACTTCATCCAGTGATGTGTGGTGGACTATTTATGATCTGCAACATTTTAAGATTAGTTTATCAATCATAACGGTAAAGATAAGAAATCTGAGAATATGTGACCATTCATGTTATTTTTGCAATCATTTTAATTTTTAATCAAGTTTGGTTAAAAGTCCTTAAGACACTGGAAGCAAACTAGTTCTCTTGTCTTGCAAAAAGCATCAAGGACTCGCCCTGAACTCCATTCTCAGTACACTGTTCCCCACCATCTTCAGCATGCAGTAAGAATTGTTAATGCTCCACTAACAAAACGAGGAGAGTTACCACACGTGAGGAGAACTTAACACATTACTTCAACTAAAAATTTGTTACTCCTCCTCTAAGCACACTGTGTACTTAACCTGGCAAGTGCTTTTTGTTTTTGTCTTTTGACAGACCTATCTTGATGAAGCAATGTGTTGATTTATCTTCTAACAAAAATTCCTTAATCTGTGTAATTACCTCATACTATTTTCTTAGACATTGAAACTTTACTGTCAAAACATCATCCTATCAAAACTTAAGTTTCAAGTCACATTTGTGCATTAGTGCTTTGCATTTTTGTAGTTTCGATTACTATTTGTGTTTGCCAGTAGTCAAGCTGAAAAAGGGAAGAATTCTTCCTTCTTATCACATCAAATATAAGCTGAAATAATCACTGTTAATAGTAGCTATGAAGTAATAGTGTGGCTCGAGCAGTAGAGCGCCATTTGCAAGTGTGAAGCCCTGAATTCAAACCCCGTTACCACCAAAAATAATATCTATGAATTTATCAACTTGCAGTGGAAAATACTTTTCTACTTTTATTTGTTCTGTAAGGTGGTACCACTCCCTGTCATTAGCTAGTCCCCATATTTATCAAGCTGTAGTATCATTAGAAAATAATTATCTTTTTGCCACACACCTACCAAAACTTCTGAGAAGACATCATTAGAACAGTTTTTCACCATTTTATTGACAATTATATGTGGGTTTTTAGTCTTACCAATCCAAAGCACTGTTTTTTATTAAGTTGTAGAACATTAATGTTATGTTTGAAATATTTAATATTAGCTTCTGATGGGCTTTTAATCTCATATTCTATAAAATAGTTTTGTCTCTGGATTAATTCAAGTAAGTTATTGGTTCCTTTGATTTGTTAGCCAGTCCATCTTTGCAAATAACACAAGTGTGGTTTTAGCACTTCACAAACAATAATGACTACCAAACTCAATATATGAGGAATCATAATTCCAGGTACAATTAGTATAAATGATTTTGGTCTTCATTTCCTTTCAGTCATCTCCATTGTCATCATTTGTTGACCACTGTAACCACATTCAGAAAGCTATGTCTTTCTTAACCAAATAGTCCAGTGAAGCTTGTTTTGTCATCATTAAATTAAGTGTAAATAATACAGACTTATTTCCATAATTTACTCAATATTAGGTTATAATTTTTTGGTGATACTGGGGTTTGAACTTAAAGTTTTGAGCTTGCTAGGCAGACACACTACCACTTGAGCCATGCCCCTCTTATAACTTTTTAAATCACCAAAGAAGTAGAAGTTTTTAACTTTGATGAGTTCTAATTTTATCAATTTTTCTTTTTATTCATCAGGCTTTTGATGTCGAGTACAAGAACTCATCACCTAGCCTAGGTCCTAGAGATTTTTTCCTATTGTTTTTCAAAATTCTGAAGTTTCATGTTTTAGGTTTAAGTGTACGGTCCATTTTGAGTTAATTTTTGAGGTTTACATCAAGATTTATTCCCCACCTCACCCCATCCCCTGCCATGGACATCCACTTGTTCCAGTACCATTTGTTTGAGAGGCATATAGATCCTATACGTGTTTATTTTAGATTTATCCTGTTTCATTCTCTTTGGAGCAGTTGTAAATGGCATTCTGTTTTGACTCTGAATATCATTTCCATCACAATGAACAGGAAATGTAGAAATGCAATTGTTTTTGCATGTTGATCTTATATCCTATGACTTTGTTGAACTCACTTATTGGAATGTGTCTCTCACTCCTGTTACTACTGAACCTAACTAGGGGCGACAGGAGATGCAGAAAGGACAAACAATGGAAGACAGACATGCATAAAGTTGGGGCCAGGTGTGCTGGGCGCTGGGATGGAGACGCACAGCAGCCTCATTGCTTCTTTTCTCTATTATTCTCTTCATTTACTTCACTTCGTTTCTTTTCTATTCTTTAAGGCCTTACTCCTTTACAATTCTTTAAAAACTCGCTTCTAAAGTGTTTTTTTCTCTTCTTTAAAGTCTCTTCCCTTAGACTCGCACATGAGATAAAAACTGCATAAAATAGAACTCCATACACATGTACAAACTGCATGTAAAACTGACAGAATCAGAATAAGTCTATATATTATCCCAGTGATAGTTTTTTTGGTTTTGATACTATGCCATAGTTGTGGCTTAACATGGTCTCATTATGGGATGGTAGCAGGATGGTATCATTGGGGTAAATGACGTGAAGGATACGTAGGGCCGTCCTGTACAACTTCTTGTTTATATTACAAAATAGATGGATTTTAAAGGCTTAGTTAAAATTTTAAATTATTATAAAAACAAATTATAAAAAATAAAGGAATCCCTGGCTTTTAAGTACTTCCGGTTTCCAGACTCATCTCATTGTGGCCTAGCTGTAAGGCAAATGTAGGCCCCAAAGTGACCATGCGGAGAGGAGTGATCTGGCCAAGAGATTTTCCCTTTCACTAGCAATAGACCTTTGTGACCTATTCAGTGACCACCCCCAGTCATGCTGGGGTACAGAATCATGCTGCAGGTGCAGAATCTGGGTCTCAGACTCTGATTGTTGTTCAGGGCCCATTTGAGTTGACAGGGCTCTTTACTTAAGAAATAGCTGTGCTATTCTCGTAGCCAGAGAAAGTCATGTGCTTTTCCAGAATGACACTGCTGCTTTCAGTTCTCCCTCTAGATAGCAGCCCAAGGATATTCACAAAGGCAAATTGGTTTTATTTCTTTCAGAGAGCATTTCTGTTTGTTTTTTTATTGGAGAGCATTTCTTAGAAATGATTACTTCTACCTGTAAACCTATCAAACCACTGGGCTAAGTTTTTTTTTAAAGTACATTTTTATGACTGGAAATTAGATCTTTCAGGTTATATCTTGACATCTCTTTTACTCACATGGTAAAAGAGGTATGGCGTACTCATTAAACCAGGGGTTAGTATTTTTCCTCTTACATGGATAATACCAAATTGTTGTCATCTTGTTACAGTTCAACATCATGAATATAGTGACCCAAATGAGAAAACAACGTTATGGCATGATTCAAACAAAGGTAAGCTTTCATCACATGAATTCTCATAAGAATAGTAAGTAGAAAGATTAACACTGTGTAGCACATTACAATTTCTAAAGCTCTTTTGCCGACATGATCTCATTGAATTCTTGCTGTTGGAGGCAGACATTACAGTGGTTTTGCTCTGATAATCCTAATTAAGTACTTCAGGTTCAGAGCAATGAGGTCTGTGCCATATGGTCACTCAGATAGCCAGGCAGGAGCAGCACTGAATTCCATGATATTTATGTAGTACATCTAAAACTATCTTTTAAATATTTAGATAATAATTTGAAATACATGTTTGCCACTAAAATATCAAGGTTATGTGAATATTATAAAAAGATACTGTTTATGTCACAGATGAGTTACTTATCATTAGAAGAGATCGAAAGAATATTTATAATGAGAAGAATTACCCAGAAATATATATATACCTATATATACATATTTATGCATATTTGTGTACATAACATAATATGTCTATATTTGAAATGTTAAAAATTAATGTGAGACACTTTTTAGAATTTGATTTATATTAGCTGGAGAAGATACAAGGAAACTAATAATGACATTCTCCTAAGTTTACTTTAATGAGTTGTAGAGCAGAACTGTATTATGATCATTTATCGTCCTCATATTTTAAAAGATATATTGCATAAAGAAGTTCTTAAGTGTTCATAGTCTTTGTGAACTTTAGGGAACTTTTTAGCCTATGTGGCTAAAAAGTTAAATTGTATTCTCTAAAAGTGGGTATTGGTATTCAATTACTTATTACTGTGTTGGTTTTCATGTGTATGTACATAGGAACAGTATCACTTTTGCTATGAAATTGTGCTCCAAGTTCTTCAGAAACTCCTGACTTTGGAATAAGAAAGACTTCTGTTGCCCCTCACTTGAAATTTCCATGTGGCTTGGAGTTTGAGCTGCGCAGAAGGGTTCTGTTATGCATACAAAGTGCTTTGTTGCTATATCCATTGATTTTCTTTCTAAAATCTCCCTGACGGCAGCGTCATGTGTTGTGGAGTGAACATTGATGTTTCTGTACAATATCAAAATACCCTCCCACATTTTCCAGAGAAACAAAAGTAGCATAAAACAACTGTGGTTTGACTATCTGGTTGAAGGGATTACAGAGCTAAATAAAATACTGAAACAATATTCATTATGATTGTATTTGGAGTTAAGGATTTCCAAGACTTTATTTAAACCTTTGTTTGGAGAGAGCATCAGACCAATAAACTAGAGGTTTGCATCTTGATTTCTGGTAAGTATTTTAAAGACATATTTATCTTTATTCTTTATCTAGAGTCTGTACTTCCAGTTGGTACTTGAATAACTCAATTTAAAAAGAGGCCAGTTAGGTGGATTAACTTTTGACATAAATTGACTTCCTTTTCTTACACTTCCACATTCCTGTGGTGCCCCAGTGACTTCCAAGAAAGAGCTGCCTTCCTAGAGCATCTCAACAAGCCCTTGCTGCTCTGGGAAATGTGTCGTGGGTGGACAGAGGCCCTCCTTTTCATGGCATGACACCCTGGCGAACAGTCCAAATCTAAAATAGATGTTTATATAGAAAGTCCAAGAGGAAATGTTTGCCTGGCCTGACTTCTTTTCTAACAACCTATTCAGTCTGCTTTGTTAAAAGCAAGTATTACATTTTACTTGCCTCTTACTCTTTAGCTAACCAATAAAGTTTGATGTAAGTATTGTTAAATAATTCTGAGTCACTCATGATATCTCTTAAACTGATACATTTTTGAAACTCAGATCTATGATAGGTTTTTTTTCCTCCAGAGTTCCATTAAGTTGTTTCTTTCCATTTCTGTCCCACCTCTGCCAAGAGATTTAGATGTTGGATCTGGGAACTAGATTTTGGAAAACCAAATTGATAGTTGTGAAAAGGGAAACTATGCTAGTTTTGTAAAGATTCTGACTGTTATTACATTCATGATATCATAAGACTTTGCCTCAACTATAATGGTACTTTGGTCAAGGAGTTTTGGCAATCAATTATATCTAATTATAAGCTACAAAACAATTCATAATTGTCTCTGTACAGTGAATTCAGTATGGATTAGAATACTCTTTGTATTATATTGAGAAAATTTCTAACATAAACCTATAAATCCTAAATATTTAAAAGGCTTATTTTATTCCTTTGGCTGAATAAATACTTGAATTGGTCAACTTAGAATGGCTAATTCTTATTTTTAAAATAATTGTATGCCAGAAATGTGTATGACATTAAATCAAATTGATTCTACCTATTTATACTACTTATATAAATAATAGTCTGTGTGAAATGTAAATTTCATTTTGGTGATTGGCCTTTAATATTTATACCTATAATTTTATTTCCATTGGTCTGTAATATAGTAACAATGTTCCTGAGGAGGAGAGGATTCTATGTTGTTATTTAAATGAAAATATTTACTATGTATTGCCTGGAGTATTTTTTGAAATGTTCTTGTAAAGAAAAATTCCTCATGTTAAACTTGTCCCTTCTTTTTTGTGCCTCATATTTTTACAGTTTGACTATTTTTAGTTTTCCAGGGAAATTAAATAAGTAAATATGGAAATGTGATTGCATGTGTTTTCATTTCATTTTTGGAAGGTGAGTTTCATATTAAAAACTTTTGATTAATTGAAATACTAACTTTTATTCCAATAATGAATCATTTTCTGCTTACGATACGAATATGAAAACTCTCATTGACACTTTTGTGAGTATATTAAAGCTAATTTAAAGGAATTTTTAAAAGATTTAAATATATGTTTTTAATGATGCTTAGATGCTTTTCAGAAATAAACACTGCAGATTTTATTCTCATATTAGTTTTAGTAATTTGTTTTTCTTTGGACTTTTTACCTCCACTCTCCCTGGAACATTAGTGAATTTTCCATGAAGCTTACTTTACAACTGAAAACTCATTGCCGTGGTTTTATTTTTATTGAAAAATCTCAAAAGAAAACACCTTGAACAACACTAAAACAAAAAAGTTTCTTTCCTACTTAAATTTTTCTAATCCTTAGGTAGAATTAATTTTCTTCTAAGATGTCAAGGTTTGAGTAATTAAAAATTATTCAAAATTTGGAAAATATCTATTAGGTAAAAATATGTCAGTGGAATTCAATGGGGGTGATGGATGGCTCAGTGGAGCACTCAGTTGTTCTGTAGTTATACTCCAAAAAGTAGTGATGGCCTCACCATGACATGATGTGAATTAGAGGGGATCTTAAAAGATATCTAATGTAGCCATTGTATCTGAAGCTGAGCACACACATGTTCAAGTACAGGATAAAACACTTCTCTCAGTACTGGAGATTGAACCCAGGGCCTTTCGCCTGCTAGGCAAGTGCTATACTACCTGGGCTACACCCCCAGCCTTTTTTATTTTTGCTATTGAGACAGGGTCTTGCTGCTACCTTTGCCTAGGCTTGCTTCAAACTTGTGATCTTACCTCCACCTTCCAAGGTGCTGGGATTACAGACAAGCACCACCCCACCCAGCAATAAGAATATGTTTTAGAATATATTTTAGAAACGGAATCAGACTTGAGGGTAGACAAATAGAGTCTTCATTCCTATTAACAAAACAATAATATCTTCCTGTTAGAACAGTTGCTGAGGATTGCTCCAGAGTGATGAAGGCAATGCAATAACACTACAACAGAGGAGTAATTGGAATTAACATTGGAAAATTGGAACAAAATGATCTTTGTTTTTTTTTTGCTCATGTAAGAATAATAGACTCTATTGAAAAATAGTATTAGAAAATTTGTTACACCACCAGGATTCAAGATAACTATGTAAAAACTAGTCTTTCTGTACATCTATTACTATATCTATAGTCAGCACACTAGGCCTATAGACCAGATCTGAGCTATTACCTTTTTTTGGTAAAGTTTGTACCCATTGTTTCCATATTGTCTCTGGGTCCTTTTGTGCTGCAGTGGCAGTAACTAAGTCAATCATGTTGTCCGAGATCACCTGGCTCATAAAGTTTAAAATATTAGCCTCCTGGCCCCGAAAGAGAGTCTGCTACCTCCTTTTCTGTGTCTTCAATAAGAAAAGTATCTCTGAGCAACAGGGATATGTGAAATATAAAACAAAATTCCATAAAATATTTCACAAAATATATAAAGTACTTAAGGTTAAACTTAACAAGAATTGACCAGTTGATGTTCACATTCTAGGTGAACAATAAGTGCATGAAAAGAGCTAAGATATTTTTGAGAAATAAGTTAATTGTTGGAAATTAGAGATAAGGGCAAAATAGTTTCTGCCAGGTATCGAGGGGGTGACCCAAGCATTGTATGCACATATGAATAATAAAAAAATAAAAATAGATAAAAAAATAAAAAGAAGTTAGTTGTTGGGAAAGGAGAGCGACTGCTTTAGTAATAATGAAAATCGTATCTAAAGTCACAGTGATGAAAACAATGTGATTCTGGAATGGCACGGAGCTTAGTGGTAGAGCACCTGCCTAGCATGCACAAGGCTCTGGGTTTAATCCCCAGTACCATAAGAAAAACAAAGCAAAACAAAACAATGTGATTCTAGTGCAGGGATACACAAATAGGTCAATGGAGCACAGTAGTTTTTTTTAATTACAGGCTCACATAGTTTAATTTGTTATATGCCAGAGGTTTAATTTGTTATATGCCAGAGGTAGCATTTAAAATCCAGAGCTTCAAAATACATGAAGCAAAAATTTATCTGATAAAACTGGAAAGGCAGACAAATCTACAATTTGAGTTGGAGATTTCAATATTTGTGCCTTAGTAATTGATAGAGCAAGTAAAAAGAAAATCAAGAGAGTCAGAAGTATTTGACAACTGTCAACCAGCTTGACCTAATTGATATTTATTGAGCACTGTACCAAATTATAGAAGAATCCACATTGTTTGCAAGTGTATGAGGAATCCTCTAAGACTATTTTATACTTCATTAAAATTCAAAAGAATTGAACTATATAAAGTGTATTTATGGAATTAACTAGAAATCAATAACAAGAAACTGAGTAGTGTCACTATAGACAATGAAAGCGGAAACCTACAAATAGAATCACCATATGATCTGGTGATACCACTCCTGGGCATATATTGGAAGGAATGTAAGTCAGGGTACAATAGAGACCCTTGCACTCCATGTTTATTAAGATCTGTTCACAATAGTGCTTTGGAATCAGCCTAGATGTTCTTCAGCCAGTGAATGGAAAAAGAAAATGTATACATACTCAATGGAATATAATTCAGCCATAAAGATGAATGAGATGGTGTCATTCACAGGTAAATGGTTGGAACTAGCATTATGTTAAGTGAAGTAAGGTTCAGAAGGACAAAAGTTGCATGTTTTCATATGTGGAATCTAGACCTTAAATATACACAGAGACCTACCTATGTGTATACATATATATATGTGTGTGAGTGTGTATATATATATATATATATATACATGCTTATATATATCATTGAGGGACTGAGGAGGAGGTAAAAGAGGGAAAGAAAATAATTGGGGGAAGGAGACAATGGCAATATATATTGTGCCAATGTATGAAGGTGGTACAAGGCACCTCATTGAAAGCTGTTGAAAAATAGTGGAGGAGAGGGATGGGAAAAGAGAGCAATAGAGGAGGTTAATTTGATCAATGTACAATATATGCAGTGTGAAACACTATGGTATAGCTCCTTTTACAATCAATATATACTAATAAAAATTATTTAAAAAGATATACTCAAAAGCAGTTTAAAAAGCTAACCTATTTAAGACATTAGGAACCTGTTTAAAGACATTAGGAAAATCACATAAGACAGAAGAGCAACAGGAATAGGAAGTAGAAAAATTCAAAATGGGTTGACAAATTCAAG